AGCGATACTTTATTGATTGCAGTGCTATATTTATAACTAAACTATTAGTTACAAGTATAACATTTCAGTGAAGAATATACTGATTTATACTTTAAACGGCACTGTCAAAATTGTCAGTAGTATCTATTGCCGTCACGTATTGAATCTTTATAAAGAAAGATTTAGAAGGGTTTCTTCATCAATTTCGATATAATCTTAGATATATTGCAAAGAAGTCGAAAATAAGAGATGTATATTGTAAATGTGAAGCTGGCATCTCGCTTTGCGGAAATTTACATATTATTGAGAGAGGATCCTGGCTTCTCTCCTTTTTAATAGTTCTAGAGTTCTTGATAGATTAAAAAAATAGTTTCGCTTATTAAAGCAGAAAAAATGGACCAGACAAACTGAGATGTCAGTTTTTTCATTACTTTGTCCTGTGCGACTTTCGCCATTATATCTTTTCAGATTTTGCGAGATCAACATAAAAAGTGAATCTTTGAATCAAATGTGTTTTTATTCATGAACACTTTTCCTTTGCCTTCATTTAAGCATAAAATGTTCTCTTTAATCACAAATATTCACTTGCACCAATAATAAATAGATTTGTACAAAGTATATTTTATTTTCAAGATGATATTTTTGTTTCTAAAATCGTTGTACAGTTATAATAAATCGAATTACATAATTTAAAAGCTATTTATTCTTGGATTAAGAATTATCTATTCAAAAGTGCGTTCTACTTATATTTGAAGCTCACTTGTTTCACATTATCCTACAACAGTGCGTATGAGCCCAGTGTTGTCATGCCTGATTCGAGATATGCAACATGCAAATCGTAGTACAGGAGGTAACGCACAGAAGCGAGAACCATGTACATGTGTACGTATCTACTGTACGGAAAAAATAACCTGGATTAACGTAACATGTTTAATTAAACAAGATTTAATTGAATTAAATAGAATTTAGTAGAATTATCTAAATAGAATTTAGTAGAAATTAGAGTTTCTGTAATTCTTATAATCACATATTTTGGTATTCAATGCTAATTATTAGCAATTATAGACTATTTATAAGGAGTCTATATAAATATAATATCAAATCAATTAAATTTCAAATAAATGATTATTAGTGTTAGTTAGTTAGTTATAAATAGTGTTATAAAACACTAGCACTTTAAAAAATTGTTTGGTGTTGTATCTAAATTCTGATTAATTCAACCAAATTTTTATATAATTTGCGTATTCTGTAAACTTTTTTATACTTTTGTTTTAAGAACAATTTATTCTTAATCGGAGACTATTTATACTTGGCACCATTCTCTAAGAATAAAATATTCTTGGATCGACGCATATTTGCATTTCTTTAAGGATTCATTTTTTTGTATGAATAATTCTACATGTATACTACAAAGAGTTCCGTTGTATAAAAGCAAAAGAATGTATAACTAAATAAAAACTAATGATTATAATGTAATAAGCCTACCGAGTTGAGACTCTAGTTAAAATTTTGGAAATTTGGTTTTTCCAAATTAGTTTTTGTACAATACTGTGAGTATATAGAAATACTTTCGAAAGTGTCCTAGGTATTAGGAAAATATTATATCTCTTTTTAAAAAATTAAGTTTATCTTACTTACAGCGTTACATACTTAAATGAAATAGAGTGATAAGCTGACTGAAATCTGAAAGAATTCTAGTTTATAGTTTATAGTTTACTTAAAGTACTCGTGTAGTACTTTAAGTGTCAACATATTTAAGTATTTTCTAAAGAGTTCTAGAAAGAAAGTTCTTGAGATTTCTAGAAAGAGAGAGAGAGAGAGAAAGAGGGAGAGGGAGAGCGAGAGAGGGGGAGGGAGAGAGAGAGAGAGAGAGAGAGAGATTAGCAATGTTATATATATATATATATATTTTTTTTTTTAAGAATTTTAGGCACTAGCGATGTTGTATCATTTTTTTAAATTAATTTTGTCTTACTAGATAAGATAAAGTGATACTCTAGCCGCAATTAAAAATTTCTTATTTACTTAAAATATTTCTCAGGTAATTCAGAGTATACTAAAACATTTTGCAGAGTCGTAAGTATAATCAAAACTCTTAGATTTAGGTCAGCGTATTATCCTACTCTGTGTAAGTAAGCAGCCCTCGAACGAAATAAATTTAAAAAAAATTATACGACATTGCTAATGTCTAGAACACTTTATAAAATATTGCAATAGGCTAAAAACTATCCCTAAGAAAGGTTAAAATTTCGAGATTTCAAGATAAGATGACATTGCTAATGCCTATAAAACTCTTTAGGAAGTACTTAAATAGACCAAGTATTACAAGATACCTGTTTTAGATAAACCAGAACTCTATCAAATTTTGGCTAACAAATGTTAGCGCGCAGCGCTCGAACGAACTTAATTTTTTAAAAAAGAATACAATTGAATTATTAACTCTTTAGAAGATACTTCTATATAGTCAAAACTACACGAGAATTTTATTTTAGAAAGATCAGAATTCTGAGATTTTAAACAGTGTCCCAACTCGATATGCTTATTACATCATAGTTACTGGTCTTTATTTAGATACATTTAATTTTTTGATTTTATACGGTAAAACTTTTTATAGAACTTATGTAGAATTATTTACATTATATAAAGTCTGAGAAGACATAGTACGCAATAATACGCAACTTGGTGTCCCAGTTTTTCCGGCCTAATTTTTTCTGCTTTAACTATTTGTTTAACCTAACAAAGAAATCTATAACTATTTAAAAGGAAATCAGAATTCTCAATATTTTGTGAGTTTTCGCTAAATAAGATGTCAACTTCACATATACACGTACACAATTTGTTTTATAAATGCTTTCTCGCTTCATGGAATGGATGAAAAACTTTTCGAGTCTAATTTCATATAACTATAAGCAAATATTTAAAAAAATCGTGAGATATGTGAGAAAATGTTTTATACGGTATTTTTATGGGATTTGATGTACTTTATAGTTACGCGCTTAAATTTTTCAAAAATTTCATATTTTTCAGCACCCTCATCTCTCGCTGTTATTTCTACGAATTTTTGTTGGGACAAAAAATAGAAAGAGAATTTTACGCCACATTCAACCATGTATAATCAAATTATTTTCTGAGATCATATTTTTAGGATGCAAGTTGTAAAAACTTCACTTTAAATAAATGCACACTCATGACGTCAGACTAGTATATATGCAAAGTACCACATACACAGTCGTTTGCATAAAGATTGTGACACTTTTTTGAACGCGTGAATTTAATGAGGCTGCGAAACTCTGTGCACAAGCTTGAATATTGAGTATTGAGAGGTTTGATAACAATCACATTTTTAAATACGAGACTTACAAAAGTAATTTATAAATAAAAATATAAATGTTATTATATAAACTTGTGTACTTTGTATTGTATATAAACCTGTATTATATTATCTTGTGTATAAAGTGTCGCAGTCTTTATGCAAACCACTGTACAAGCGAGACTGACGCTACATGTCTGCGACTACTTACAACGCGACGTTTAAAGCTCGTTCAATCCCTAAGCGTGCGAGAAAACACTTGTAAAAGGATTTGTATCTCTTATTTCTGGCTTTTCAGCGCTATATCCAGGACTCATCAAAATAGATAAGGAATACTTCCATGCTTTTCCCTTGTCGGTGACGGTTTCATAAGGAAATGTCGTTAAAGCGACATTTATTAAAAAATAATGATTATGATATAATAATAATGAAAATATTTTCATTTAACACTAATGTCATTTTACTCCCTTTCTTTATTCGAGAGTTTTGCACCTGTAATGAGATGCACTTTTGTTCGCAAGTTAAATGAATTTGCATATTTTACAAACAAACATAACGAGGAAGTGTAAACTCGCAGTTACACTTAATCGTCATGGACAATTTAAAACAATGTTAATGTCGCTATAAGATAATAGAAAAGGGCGTCAAGTGAAATATAAATGTATACGTAATACAGGCGCACCAGGGCTGCACCTGCACTGGAAAAAAGAACTAACTACCGGTGACTCTGACACTCGAGAGTGGATCCGCGGCAGCTGTAGTACCTCGCGACGAGGAAACGTGGAAAAATAAACCCGTTTATCATCCAGCTTACAGCGCGAAGGGTAACGAAGCTGACAGGGTAGACGCAGAATAATCGAATTACTATGGCATAGAAACGAACCGTGGAAATACTCGACGTTTCAATAATAATATGACAAATATGAACGAGTTATTGTAAACGTAAAGAATTTCGTCATCACAATTTATATTGTTAATTGTTAAAATAATATTTCGTTATTTTCTATTGACATCGCGTCCAAGCAACTTTTAACACAATTCGAGGAAGTTCAATTGAGCAAATGAATTTAAATAAAGACCTCTATCGCGAAATTACTGATTATCGCTTCTCTAATTGTAATTTTCCATACCTATTGCCAGTCTCCTCCTTATTAGGCCCCTATCAAATGGTCGAAAAATAGCAGAGACCAACAGGAATGTCGGGAAAAGCTGTGAAAATCATTGGGAAAGGGCGTAGTACTTCCAGGAAGGCGACGAAACCGCCGTGAACCCGGCTGACGTGCGCGTGTCTTTTTCCACTACGCGAAGCTTCACCCAGCCGGAGCTTGCGCGTCACAGGTGCATTCGCAGCGCGCAGAGGCGAAGTCGGCCACGCTGGTACATGCGCAATAGTATATTGATCCTGTGAATTCGAGACACACGCACCAGCATCCAGTGGTCCAGTGGCTGTACACAATGTCATTTCTGTTCGACGTTCTTCCGGCATTTCGCGAGCGAAGCGACCCGCGCGAGTAATGAGAGCCAGCTCGGAGCCTGTCCGTATTGTCGACTGATAAGCGCGCGTCGCATTTCGAACGTAACGCAGCGGATTATGATGTACAAGAAGGACACAGGGTAGGCGCCGCATTTCCAGAGTACGAGGGAACTGAGCAGTGAGCGAAGTGCAAGTATGCCGCGATTATTTAGATTTACATGCTCGACACATGTACACACATACCAGGTTTTGATCACGAATCAAATCTTCCGACCTGCTAGTCGTATTGGACAATAGGCGGAATAAATTTTGTTTTCAAACACACTTATCGTTTATTCTTGACACATGTAGATAACGGATTAACATCAGCGAGTGATCGATATGGAGCTAATAAGATGATATATTGAGAAATGACATATTGAGGAATTGCAAAGAATATCAAGAGCTGTTAAATATTTGTCGAGAAGTCGTGGTGATTATTTTGAAATCAAATATCTCTTAGTTTACGATGATGCTGCAAATGTATCCACGAAGTGTCTGAATTTTTCGTGATAAATATTAATGTAAGATCCGTGGCGTTATATGAATTATGTTATCGATACAATTAAGAGAGTAAGAGTAGAAGATGATCGCAGATATATTCGGACAAAAATAATTACGACCTTAAGTTTGCTGCTCGCATATAAGCTCGCATATTTTACTCACTTTGGCAAATAAATTGTTTTTTATGTGAAAATTTCATAATCTACGCTTTACATAAAAATTAATATGAGCAGACGGCCACTTAATGCAACAGGTTCATAATTCTACAACTAACAACTCGCAAAGCTCAGTTAAGCTATCGGCATAGCGTTATAAGCATCAGTTAGATTAAATTGAAAGTCTGGTTGACAATAGAGAGAGAAACAGAGAAAGAGGAAGAAGAATAAATGACAGTTGAGTAAATCGCAAAAATATCTATTTAACGTTTCGTTTATTTCTCAAGGAGCAAATCCGACTATCGTGGCGAGTCACACAATTGAGCGGCTGCGTGTTGATTTAACGATGTTTCTGTGCAGGATGCTTTTGATGACTGCTGCTTAATCGCACAACGGCCAGAAGAAATGATATCTGTTCTAATTATCCTGCTCCTTACGGCGGGGATTTGCAATAGCAATCCGGACGCTAAAAGGCTTTACGATGATCTCCTCTCAAATTACAATCGACTAATCCGACCTGTATCCAACAATACGGACACCGTCGTGGTGAAACTAGGACTACGTCTCTCGCAACTGATAGATCTCGTACGTAGTGTTACGTATTCTCATAAAGTATGACTCTATAATTCCTTGAAAGTCGCGTTTTAGCGCTAAGAGTCGATTTTAGCAATTAATAGCAATTCACAATCTTAGATTAAAATTTAAACTCTGTTCAAACGCATCAAACATGTTGTTAAAACAGAGTTTAAATTTAAATCTAAGTTTAAACTACTATTAAAAAATAGGCCCTCAAAATGTTGTATGTCCAAAATAGCGCGTCAAGGATCCACTTGTAAATTTACTACTTATCAAACAAAATTACGTTTTTATATATTTCTTTCATTATTTAACTACTAAATGTTAATTTTAAACAAAGATGGGATAAATATATAATGCATAATTTAAAAATATAAAAATATGTTTGTTTTCATTTATTTATGTCTTTATTTATGCACCTGTTATTATTTAGTGCTTCACTTATGCACGAGTTGATTTAATAGAGATGCACAGATGATAAAAAGTGATAATAATATAAGTGTTTAAATATATATATTTTGAGTATTACTATGAATGTTATATAAACTATTTATTCCTGTACTTTCTAAACAAAACAGTCAGTAACTCTGAACTTTATACTATATAGTATAAAGTATATACTATATACTTTATAGTATATAATATCTGTATATTAATTATATCTATATATCACTCTTTAATATTATAGTAGTTTTTCATTACACACACAAACTTAAATATAGTTTAACATATATTAAAAATAGCATGTTGATCTTAAAGAATACGCGCACAAAATGTCAATTTTAGTTGCAAATATTTTAGCTTTCGAATGATCGATCTGCTTCTAATTGAACGAGCAGTTTGATAATATTTTAGTGTATATATAGTGTGAGTTTCAATAAAGTCCCGCAAAATTTATCTTATGATACAACTATCTTAAGACATAGAAGAACGGTTACGAGATTTCTTGTTTCTCAAAACTCAAACGCAAAAGACCAGTTTTCTCATTTTCATTTCTCGTTACGTGAAATGAGCTGTGATAACGGTGTAATCGCTACAAAAGAAAACTTGTTACCGGTCTATTGCGTTTGAGCTTTGAGAAACGATTTCATGAGCGTTCTTTTATGCGTTAATAAGTTTACGTGCGTCTCTCACGTAGATCGGGTACGCGTAGCTTGCCGCGTACTCTATAACTCTGTTCTTCTCTCTAATAAATTCTGTACGTCATTTGCAGAATCTAAAAGACCAAATTCTTACCACAAACGTCTGGTTAGAGCACGTAAGTGTCAGATTAAACGGGAATGTTTGAGCAGGCTTCAGTCGCTATGGAGATATCGCGCAAGTCAAGAGGGATGTGACCTAAATGAAATTAATAATTTCAGGAATGGCAGGACCATAAGTTTCAGTGGGAACCCTTGGAATATGGGGGTGTCACCGAACTGTACGTGCCTAGCGAGCATATATGGTTGCCCGACATTGTTCTTTATAACAAGTACGTGATGCTGTGCGAATATCTACTTCGTCGTTATTATCGCGCGTTGAAAAAAAAAAGTAAAAAAGAGCATGTGCTACATATCGCGAGCGCATGATGTGCCGTGCAAAATGCATTCTTTGGGTTATTGATTTTCCCTTTTCTCACTCGGGGATTGCACGATGTATATTATGTTCGGGTGGAAGATTTTTCATGAGCGCGTGAGTTCTCTCCATCTTTCTCGAGGTAACGAGCTTGTGTATATTTTTAGCGCGGATGGAGAGTATGGTGTGACCACGATGACTAAGGCTATCTTGCATTACACCGGCAAGGTTCTCTGGACTCCGCCGGCGATTTTCAAGTCATCCTGTGAGATAGACGTTAGGTACTTCCCCTTCGATCAACAGACTTGTTTCATGAAATTCGGTTCATGGACGTACGATGGCTTTCAAGTGAGTGACAGTCGATTATCACGAGCCGAGTTATTGAGAGTTATTGAGCCCGTTGTTTAGACTTCGGTAGCTCTTGAGTTCTCTCTTTAACTTCACGCGCCCTGTAATGAGATGTAACGTTGATAGATTCTGAACGCGGCAGCTATACTGACCCGCGAAATGTATTCCTCCAGATCGACTTGAAGCACATTAATCAAAATGTGGGCGACAAGGTCGAGGTGGGCATCGACCTGCGGGAATATTATCCAAGCGTAGAATGGGATATATTAGGCGTTCCGGCGGAACGGCACACGAAGTACTATCCGTGCTGCCACGAGCCATATCCCGATATCTTCTTCAACATAACGCTGCGCCGTAAAACGTTATTCTATACAGTAAATCTCATAGTCCCGTGCGTGAGCATCTCGTACTTGTCGGTGCTCGCGTTCTACTTGCCTGCCGATTCCGGCGAGAAGATCGCACTTTGCATCAACATTTTGCTGTCGCAGACGATGTTTTTCTTGCTGATATCCGAGATTATACCATCCACCTCGTTGGCTTTACCATTACTCGGCAAGTATCTGCTTTTCACGATGATTCTCGTCGGATTGTCGGTCGTGATAACGATTATTATATTGAACGTGCATTACCGTAAACCGAGCACTCATAAGATGGCACCGTGGGTGAGAACTATCTTCATCAGAAAATTGCCGAAGCTACTCTTGATGAGAGTGCCCGACGATCTTCTCAATGATCTCGCCGCGCGCAAGATACATGGACGAGGAAAATCGGGCAAGCGGGACAAGTTCAGTGATGCGGTCGCCGCGGCTGCGCGATCGTCCTCGATCGTATCCTCGCCGGATTCTGCCCGCCATCAACGAATCGATGGTATAACGTTTTTTTTATAACGATATTGTTTTCATTTCTTATATTCAATATTTAAGTATATATGTGTTCTTCGATATGTTTATTTGGTATTTATTCGCACGGTGGATATTAATAACATATTTATTCATATTAATATATATTTTTATGTTGAAAAAAATATGTTTTCAAATAAGAATATATACATTTCCTAAAGAGGATGCTAAAGTGGATAATGAAAAAAATGCCAGTAGAGGCGATCATCAAAATGTCACGTTAAATAAATATGAACACTTTTTATGTTAGCTTTTTCGTACAGTTTGTTTTAAAATGGTTTGAACACTTTTTTCGATACATTTTGGTAAGAAACTGATAGTCCAACAAGAAAAGGGGAATTTGATGAACTCTCAGAAATTAAATCTTTCTCATCGAATTACTGATTGTGTTCTAAACTGCATGAAAGAAGTATTCAAACTGTTGTGAAAAAGAGAAAGAGAGAGAGAGAGAGAGAGAGAGAGAGAGAGAGAGAGAGACAAAATATAAATATAGAACTTATATAAATGTATGCAGCTTTGCTTTACCATATTTAATCGAAAACATTTCTAAACTTCTAAGTTCAGTTGTAATAGTAAATTCAGTTGTAAATATATGGTTTCCAAAATTTTTCTGACAATAGTAAACACACTTGATATTTTTAAAAATATTTTATCGTTTTCATCACATATTCGACAATGCTCCAATTTATTTCTGCATGTACTTTCATTGTAAAAGTAATTATTATTTTGCGCAAACAATATGACAAACTTCACAGGAAAATGTCAATATTTTGTCGGTAAAGTTTTCAAGTATAGTATTCTTTTAATATGTTATTCTGACAGAAAGAAATATTTAAAAAAATAGTTGTTCGATGGATGTTAATAACATATTTATTTGTATTAATATAGATATATATTTATATACTAAAAAATATTTTTTTTAATGAGAAAAAATATACGTTTCTTTAAAACTGTAGTCTTTCACAAAAACAATTGTTTATTTTTTTTAAAAAAAAGAATTTTAATAAAAAATTGGAATTAATACTTTTCGAATTAATATTTTTTAGATACTTTTCTCTCAGTGTACTCTTTCCTCCTTTTTCAATGTTCGACGTCATAAAATATATTTTCTTCGCGTCTCGTCACAAATTACGAATCGAAGCGACCATGGTCGTATAATAATTATTGGCATTTTAGGTTGCAATGGTTTACACAGGACGACCCACAATCGATTTCTGGTGGGCAGTTTAGGATACAATGGGCTTCAAACGGTTATGTCCGGTCTGGATGAGTCTATGAGCGACGTGACACCACGAAAGAAATATCCATTTGAATTGGAAAAGGCATTACATAACGTTATGTTTATTCAACATCATATTCAACGTCAAGATCAATTCAATGCGGTAAGAGCATCCTTACGCTTTCTAACAATGCAAATATAACAAAAACGCAGAAAGGAATAAACAGCAAGTGCGACCTCTAAAAAATATATATACAGCCAAAAATGTTGGAATTAGATATTAAAAATAAAACATTACAAATAAAAACAGAAAGAAATTAATCTTTTTCATGATAATTCTTTTTACTTTTACTATATTTTTTAATAGTAAAGGAATAGATTATCAGTAAAGTTTATTTTACTAAAAATCATTTATATATGTACACTCAAGATGGCCCACTCCTTACAGCTTGATAACTAAAAAATTAAAAAAGATATGAAAAGGAGTTATAGGATATTGAGAGTGAAAAAGACAGTAACATTTTATTTGACCTTAGAATGACGTTGAAAATCCCTATCAAGCTCAACTTTAACTTTTTAATTTTTTATTTTAAAATCATATATTTTTTCGTCATAAATCAATTCCTCTGGTCATTCAGTCTATGGAAGTATTACAATAAAATCATCGAAAAGTAAATGTTTCTCGAGATATTTTACAAATATATATATATATATATATATATATATATATAGGGTGTCTCACACTCTCCTCCGGGCATTTAGTGGGGACGTAGAATGGGTTGATGTGAACACAAAAGTCCTATACCGTTTTACGATATTCGCAATAATTATCGAGATATTAATTATAAAAAATTTGTGAATGATCATGCAGGATATGGTAAATGAGTTATAGCGACGACTGCCGTCGTGTATTTATACTTTAGGTCAAATTGAACAAAAAAGTCCTCTACCATTTAGTAAATAATCACATAGATTTTTAATTATTAATTAAAAAAGATGAGTGCATTATCACGCAAAATCGTGCAATAATCTTCTTTAATTAATAATTAAAAATCTGTGATTATTTGGAAAATGGTAGAGGACTTTTTTGTTCAATTTGACCTAAAGTATAAGTACACGACGGCAGTCGTCGCTATTATAACTCATTTACCATATCCTGCATGATCATTCACAAATTTTCTACAATTAATATCTCGATAATTATTGCGAATATCGCAAAACGATATAGGACTTTTATGTTCATCTCAACTTGTTCTACGTCCCCATAAAATACCCGGAGGAGAGTGTGAGACACCCTGTATATATATATATAAAATATATATATATATATATATATATACTTATACGTAACTATGATAACTATGGCTACAAGATACAGCGTAGCTATGGGCGGAGGGACGCAGTGAGCCGCGATTCGCATGTATCATGGTCTCACGCCGGCCCGAGCGCTAATTTGCTCAGACAAAATAATTAATTACTTGAAAATTATTGCAAATTTCGCAAAATGGTATTTGACTTTTCTGTTCCGTTTAATCCGTTCTACTTTCGTACGAATTGTGTCAAAAAAGGTTTCGGACACCCTGGACATATTAGGTATGTTACTATGTTACTTATTGTGTCATGGCAGGAAGATCAAGATTGGGGATTTGTTGCGATGGTCCTCGATCGGCTTTTCCTATGGATCTTCTCGATAGCCTCCGTCGCCGGTACTTTCGCGATTCTATGTGAGGCCCCAGCGCTCTACGACGACACCAAACCGATCGATATGGAATATTCATCCGTTGCTCAACAGCAATTCCTCCCGTCCGGCCAAGACTTGCTGGATACTCTCGTATAGATGGCTCGTGTAGAAAAATGTGATCTCTATTTATTAATACGGTATTCGATTTAAAGGGAAGCGGCGAACTGTCTCTTTCCGAGTCTTTCCGCGATATTGCGACAAGTTACGCCAAGAAACCGTGATTCATACGATCGTTTGTCACGTACATCATTAATTATACTTGTAATTAAAGACTCCATTGTATCTCAATACATAATCACGATTTCGATGATATCTCTGAGATCGAACGGTACAATATTGTGCGCGATTCTAGAAACTGGCCTAAAACAAAATGTGATTTAATCCCGCAGGAGACAATTCGCCGGCTTACCTTGTACGTGACAATTGCACACATAATTGCAACACGATTATATTCCCGAAAAAACGAAAGAAAGGAAATTGTATTTGTACTTACTACTATATGCGCGATAGTGCGCATAAAACAAGAAAGAAAAAAGAAAAATCGTTCTATAATAGTAACAACTATTTGATGTTCACAGTGTTACGACGAAGACTTTGCGATTAGATATCGTTTGTAAAACTTTTGGTAACGTTGGTTACACATGGTGTAACAGTGATACTTTGACTTGCACACCAAATATATAATCTGTATATAGGACACATTTCATGCTCCAATTAATATTTTCCCGAACATCAATCAATTCGTATATACATAGCGTAGTTTTTTTGAAGAATTATAAACAAAACTTTTTCCATTACAAACACATATATAAATATATACATATATTCGGATTTGTTCGATATATTGTACGTATCAAAAAACGAAAATAAAGATAAAAAGCTAGAAGTTAAATGTATTATCCCCTGAATAAGCACACTTAACCGAATATATACTTTATTGTATCCGACATGTACAAGAGAGTTTTGCGGTCTACAGAGTTGGGCAAGCATTATTTTTCTCTTGCATCTATTTCAATTGAAAATTTATTTGAATAAAATTTTATTCGAATTTTCATTTAAATAAAAATTTAAATAAAAATACGAGTCTTTATTTCAATGAAAATTCATTCAGAAAATGCTCAACTCTGGCGGCATTTCCACTGCATAAATGGTCATGCGGAAAAAAAATATTCTGTTCGTGTAACTGATCTTCTGTTATCTGGAGACACACACACATGCACACATAGATGAAAAATCGATCATAAAAACAGAAAAATTCTTGTAGGAAGTTTCTGTTTAATCGATTGATCTTTGTGATTTTAACAGAGTTTTACAGCAACTAAATGATCAGATGAACGTTTACGATCGCAATAATAGAAATATCTTTTCTAAGTTATGAGATTTTGTTTGGCTTTTATTCGGTAACACGAACTGAGATGTTTTTTCCATGCACGCACAAAATAGGAAATCAATGTACGTTTACGCGCGGACTAGCTTAATATCTTAGTACCAAGTTTAAAAAATGGCGTATTTCCTCATTTATGAAATAATAGCAGCTAGGAAATAATCAAAATGCAGACAAACGGAAAACGTTAACCAAATTTTCGCGTCGGCTATCATTTTAATATTACATCTTTTTATAATAAAATTTCTTTCACGTGAGGAATATACATGTGTTGGATAAATAAAAGTACCCCAAAGTGATTAATATAATTTCACTTCTAAAATTAAATGCTCATACTCTCCTGGCATCATAGTAGATTATAAACTAAACTTAACAAATTTGTGTACTTATCGTCGCAACGAATAATGAAACATTGGAATATGAGTAGTGTAAAAATTCGGGTCGCATTACTTAGTGAATAAAGAAATATGCAACTTCAAAAAATATTCATCTATAGACGCAATGTATGTTTCAATGCTAATAAGAATAAAATCTTCTATTGCATCGATTCATGCGCTATAGCTATTGGTCGTTGACAGCTAACCATTTGACTATGGTTGTCTTCCGGAATGTACTGCATTATTTAATACAGTATTTAATAATTAAATACTGATAGCATTATTTTCGCGTTCCGAAATCATTTTCAGTACGATGCGTGATAGTAAAATTAACTACTTTTTACACAAAAGTAGATTCTAGAGAATTGCCGATGTCCGGTTAATTCTGTACACTATCTTGTGGTAATACAAATGTAGTAATATATATGGTGACTAGCGGTTTAAAGTAAACAAGTAAGAATTACGTGAAAAGAAGAGAAGAATTACAACTTATTTATATTATTAATCAAATATACATTAATTAGTGAGAGTCAAAATAATACGTATAAAGTATTTCTGTTACTAGATGATTACTAAAAAGTCAAGTTACAATTTTTATGATTATTAACAAGAATAAAAAGAAACTCATAAAAATTATCATAAATTAACTATCATAAACTTATAATTTTAATAATGTTTAATTTATATTTTTTGTAGAAAACAATTATGTTCTTCAAATTTTAGAAAATATTAAAAAAATAGACAAGATAAGAAAAAAAATATATGTTATATTTACTATAATTGCTATAATTATAAAACTATAATTATAAATTTATTTTCATATTCTTCGTGCATTTTTTAGATATACCGTCCACGTTATCTGCTAACACTGCAATGCGATACTGTAAATGCGTTTCAATTTTTTATATTGAGTGCGTTCCGTTTCCACGCATGATGCGCATGAAACGCAGCGTTAGAGTGACAGAGATACGAGAGTAAGATAAAATGAGAGAAAGAGCACTCGGGTAAGGTTCTCGAACCTAGGTTAGGTTAGTTCTCGAACGCATGAGAGCGCACGGACTGCACTACCTCGGAGCTGAGACAGTCCATGCGTTCGAGAACTAACCTAACCTAAGTTCGAGAACCTTACCTGAGTGCTCTCCCTCTCATTTTATCTTACTCTCGTATCTCTGTCACTCTAACGCTGCGTTTCATGCGCATCATGCGTGGAAACGGAACGCACCCACTGTCACTAATCTACCAATTTCGCAGAACGAAGCAGTAATACTTCCTTCCTTTCTTCCTTCAATATTTGGCTAGAGGCGCATCCACGACTCATGCCCCAACGCCATTACTCGAAGCAGTAATACTTCCTTCCTTCCTTCCTTCAATATTTGGCTACAGGCCTCTCTAAGAGTAATGCCCCAACGCCAGTTTCCGATTAATGATATAATTCGAAAGCAAAGTCTTGGAAATTTTCAAGACACGATCCAAAAAAATCACAAGGTCCGAACTTGTTCGAACATGTCTTGTCGTGACGACGGTTAGGCCGGGACTAAGCAGTAATACTTGGTCTGTTCTTTTCAGCTGCACTGCTGAACTGATGCAATAAGTTAGAGTAAGAAAAAATATACTTGTCTCACTTTAACTTATTGCACCAGTTCAGCAGTGCAGCTGAAAAGAACATACCAACTGTCAGCACATTTCAGAAGACAACCTATATATAAGCTTATTGGTAGTTACCGATACGAAGATAGCGAGAACAAGACATAAAAGTCAATTTCTGTATTTTTGAGATTCTATAGGATGGTATTTCTCAATCGACAAAGAATTGCTCGAACTGCCTTAATATAACATTAAACTTTAATATTGACCTAATACTGTTTGGAAGAAGCAAGATTTACTCTACGTAATTGCACTACGAAAGCACTTTAGAAAGTTTAATAAAAACTAGGAAGAAGGAGACTGAGAAACGAAACTCCTCGAATTCATCTGTAATTTACCGTACACACATCGTTGTAGGTGCCCCAACATTAACTAGATCGAAGGTTATACGATTTTCAGCCTTACACTTACTATAATACTTGAGACCGAAAATTGTATAAGTAACTCTTATAATTGTATAAATCTGATTATAATGATAGAGTTATGATGGTGTCAATTATAACAATTTCAATTTTATATTAAACTTTATACGCATAAAGCCAAAAATCCTATAACTCTCGATCTAGGGAATATTCGAGTATCTATGATATTGTGCGTACATTGCTGTAAATGTTGAATATTGGCAAACTGCCGAATGTTCTTTGTTCTGCTATCTAAGGTTGCATTTCGATACTCATTACCAGAACTAAAAATCTATACGTAACCTAACGTAATCTAAATTAATTAATCAAATGATGTCACGCAAGATGAAAATAAGAGCAACATTCTCGTCGACATTCAGCTATTCGCACGAGTTACTGCGTATTTTGTAATATGAAACTAACAATCAATAAATGCATACATCACGATTGCTGACGTTCTTTACGACATAAGAGAAGTTCGCATTTCTACAAGTTTATCTCTATTATATCTCCGTAGAAATATTTGCAGTCTTAACATATAAATTGATAAAAATATACATTAAACAATAAAATTGTAGACTTAGTTCTCATGATATTTGTCGTGTGATATTTAAATAGGAAAGAATATATTACTATACACAGAGTAGCCCACTGAAAACGAAACAGGCGTGTTTTTGTTATTTAACTTCCCATACAAAATCTCTTGGAGACGTCCCAGAGATGTCCTGAAAACGTTCTCAGGACGTATTCTGGACGTCTCCTGGATATCTTTGTTAGAGTTAATTTGTTCGAAAAACGTTCGGATACGTCAATTATATTTGCAAAGAGGACATGTTAATTAGCTATTGCCGTTCATCGAACTTTAATCTCATAGGAAAGGTTAATTTCCTAAAAATTTTAGACGTTTTTTTCATTTTTACCGAGCTACTCTGTGTATGTGCGTGTGTGAATGTGTATGTATGTATACAAAATGTCCAATTTTAATGCAGTTGGATATCTCAGAAATTAAGAAATATATAAAAAAAGAAATATATAAAAAATAGTAAGATATCGAGGAGGAAAAAAGATAGTAAAATTTTTTTACTTTGAAAAAATCTTCTCAAAACCCTGTCAAAGTCAACTCTAATCTTTAAATAGAGTTGTACGGTTTTATGAATTTAAATCGATTCCTTATTTTGCATACAAAAGTATTTGGATAAAATCGTCGAACAATGAATACTTCCAGAGATATTTCATATTTTATTCTGTTACTTCATATTTTATTCTGTTACTTTTCAATACAAGATATGAAATATCTCGTAAACTATCTTCATTTTTCAACCACTTCATTTAAAAACTTTTGTACGTAAAATGAAAAGAAAAATCGATCGTTTAGAACAAGATAAAACAGTTCCTGTAAGTGAAATCTGGACTGTGTTGAATTCTAATCTGATGAAAATGTACAGACTGACTGAGAACCTCACTGTGAATGAACAACTATTCCCACATAACAGAAGAAGAACTAGATTTACCCAGTACAATCAGTCGAAGCCAGCAAAATATAGCATAACAATATGATCGATACAGAATATTACTATTCATTTTCTGACCAAATTTACACAAGTAAATCTGCATTTGGGCGAGAAACAAACCGAGGGAATGCATTGTAAAACATTTAACTGCACCGTCCAAAGACATAATATTATAAATAGCTTTGAATAAGTTCTTCACAAATCTACATTTAGAGAATCTTCTATCTTGAAATTTGATTTGTTGGGATTTTAAAGCAAAACAAAAAATATATTCCCGAAGAAATGACAACAAATTCACGAGAAGTGTTTTCATCATTATTTGACTATCGTGAAAATATAACAATATGTTCTCATGTATCGAAAAAGAACAAGACAATTTTAGTATTATTTACGATTCACCATGACGACTTCAAATTCTGGACTAAAGAAAAAACTTGAAATGATATATTTCTACGATAAAACAAAGTCTATTATCGATATTATGAATAAATTGCTTGAACGATACAGTGTATGGAGACGTACTAACAGATGGCTACTTGTATTTTTCACAGCATAATCGATATTGCTGCTCTTGCAGCATATATTATTTATAATAAAAATAATTATATGCAAAAAACGAACAGATCAACGTCGAATGTTTCTATGACAATTGGGAGAATTATGTGGTGACAATCGAAGATCGATCTTTAAGTACACAAATAACGAATAATTAGGAATCAGAAGCATACTCAATAAATCTATTACCGTTACTGATAACGCCTGCACTTCTAATTCAGTACCATTAGTAGCAACTCCACACGATACAACTGGACAAAAAATAATAATGCTTGCAACGTTTGTCGTGTGCAACTCCCCACAAAAGAAAAAGAAAATCTAGAAAATCATGCTACTATTGCACATATAGGTTCCGCACCTATGTGCCGAATATTAAAAAATGTTTACATTAAATAAAGATTATTCCAAACTGTAATGACTTTTTCTTTTATACTTTTATAATTAATCATAGTAAAATATATAGTAATATAATATATTTTTTAATTTTTTTATTTACTTAAACCTTAATTTTTTCGATAAAATTAGCTTTCATTTTTGTTTCGAGTGAGAAAGAAAAGGTTACGCGGGTAATCTGGATATTGAATAGAGACAAAGCACCTTTTGTGCCGATGTTATCAACTTTTATTAAACATGTAAAAAAGATAGGAACATAAATAGATTCAAAATTATTTAAATAATGGGGATCTGACCGAGGAAGACAATTATTTTTTTCAAAATATAACTTTTTTCAACTTAAATTCGAAAAAAGATACTCGGGTACCCAGATATTGACATAAAAGTTAAAAAACTAGAATTGACTTTGACAGGGCTTTTCAAGGTTATTACAAGCTCAAAAATAAATATTACTATATTTTTCTCCCCTCGATATCCTATAACTTTTAATCGAAACACTATTTTATATCTTTCTTAACTCTTTAAGCATAATTTTTTGCATAATTCATGGAACATTCTAGTAACTTTTTTTAATGAAATATTGTCAAAAACACTCTAAATAATACATTTATAAGGTTTCAACTGCCCGATCCTAAGTCCCTATTGGTACCAGTAATACTTAAAGGATTAATTCCTAAAATATATTCAGGCTGCATTGACTATAATAGGACACTATATATGCACCCACACACACACGCACGCACCACGCGCGCGCGCACACACACACACATGTATGTATGTATGTATGTGTGTACACACACACACACACACACACACACACACACACACACACACACACACACATATAATCTTTTTTCTTGCAATTGGAAAAAAGAATTAAATTATAAAAACAATTATTAAAATTTAGTTTTGTATGTGTTTGTATATGGAAGGTATTAACAATTATTCCCGAGTATAAGAACAATCTGTGGATAAAACAGAAACATAGGATATTGTAGAAATTTACTTAAAAGCATTGCTCTAACAAACAAGAATAGCACCTTATTTGGAAAAAAGATATGTGAGAACTGAGAGGGGAAAACATGAGAAACTTAAAAATTAACGTGGAAATGCATACTTGTTGCAGTAATCGACGTGAAATTTTTCAACTTTATATAGGAATGTAGGATGTCAGTCATATCTTAAATATTTGTTATAGGCGATGGAAGGAAGGAAGGTCGCCAGAATTTCCTAAGAGTACGAGGACGGGATAAGATGAAAAAATGCAGAACCTGCATACAAGAAAATTCGCCAATATAACGCGACGAGACGATATTACCTATAGATATTAAAATTTAAATAGCGTAAACTAGTTTCGACTCAGTGCACAGTGGATCTAAACACATGAAAGTGGACATGGTAAAATATCTTGAAAAATATTCATTTTTTAATTATCATAGCTCAATATTTTTTTACGCGAAATAACCTAAGGACTTGATTTAGGTTAAAAAATATACAATTCAATTAAATAAATCGAAGTTGATCTTAAAATAATCTTGAAAGGTCAATTTTGATGTCATAATATTATCATCTTATGTCTTTCTCAGAATGTTATAGGTTTCATTTCAACAATTTTTACTTAACACTTATTATTTATGAGTTATTGAACTCTTAATCTTTCCATTGCCTATATTGTGTATTACATATTAATTGTGTAGTCTATATTAAATGAGGATAAATGCTTATTTCGATTATGTAATAATGTCATTTGAAATATGGTGGTTATTTTTTCGAATATAGAAAATTAATATGAAAATTTTGATTTCATTTTAATACTTTTATATACAAAACGCTCTGAGAAGAATCAATTTCTATTAAAACACTAAACAATTCCATTTAAAAAACTGAACTTGAAATAATTTTGAAGAAAACATTTTAATGTCATAATATTATTATAACTTGTGTTCTTCTTGCGATTTTACAACTTTCACTTCAATTGTTTTTCTGTAACACCTGCTATTTAAAAATTACTGAACTATAAACGCACATTTTTTTACCTTCCTTACAAAACTCCTTTATTTCATGAAAAAGTAGCTGAAGAAAACTGAAAGTTGTGAATCTGTGTAATAAAAAGTCTATTTAACGATGTAAAATCAATAGAAACTTTGCATTTCCCAGCCATTGTTTTAATGACAATACAAAGTACGTATACGAGGCTAATTTCTATATTCGAAAAAATGACAGCCATATTTTAAATTTGTTTGTTGCATTGTTACATGGTCGAGATAAGCATTTTTCCTCATTCAAAAATTGTAGTATGCAAGTACATGCGTGTATAAGAATATACATAGTATGAGCTACGGGAGAATTAAGAGCTCACTAACTCATAAATAGTAAGTGTTAAGAAAAAATTGTTAAAATAAAAGCTGTAATATTCCGACAGAGATATAAGATGATATTATTATGGCATTAAAATTGTCCTTTCAAGATTATTTCAAAATCAATTTTGATTTCTTTAATTGAATTATATATATATTTTGTTTTAATATAAATCAATTCCTTTGGTTATTCTACATAAAAAAAAGTATTGGGCTATGATCATCGAAAAATGAATATTTTTCAAGATATTTCATCATGTCCGCTTCACTTTCATATGTCCCGATTCACTATGTGTCAACATTACATTATTCAAAACTACCTTCACGATATCGGATTTGGGGTTTAAACGCAAATCAGATCGAATTGCAGTCGCGCCGTTAACAAAACAACGCTGCAAAACGGATCTTCCTCAAAGATCTCTTTTCTGCTGCTTTCAGTGCTTATCAATAGTCGTTTTGATAGTATCATATGCACCATTCTATGAACAGTGACATTATAGATAAACCAAGAATAACTTACGCGCTTTCAATATTCTAGATAAAGTTTGCAAATCCCTGCATCGTACGCAAAAATATATTTCGTTTGCGATAATACGCCTACGCATACGCTATGTACTTAGCTCGCGGAGAGGCACAGATATACACGCGCTCCCAAATACCAAACTCTATTTCATCAAGATTCTTATATTTTCCGCGTAAAGCCTATCACGTATTCTCCGCGAATTCTGTATTTTATAGTACAAAAATAAAAATACACGAGAGTAATATTTTTCGACACGGATTTGACACTTTTCGTTGCTCATGTATCACTTCTTATATTACCTGCTACTTTATCCATAATCATAAATAATGGATTTTTCGAAAAGAAATCATCAAAACAATGTAATAAACTATACTCATTTAAAGTGCACATCAAATTATACACGTGCAGAGGATCGACAGTTTACAAAAATGTCACAAGATAGTTTACAAAAGTGTTTACAAGAATGTCTCATCTCGAGACACAAAAATATCAATTCAAATTAAATTTTTTTTAAAATCGCTATTTTAGCATAGAGCAACAAAAGTGCCGGACATCTCACACGTCTAGATTTTTATGGTAAAATTATACACACGTACGACTCTTATTTACCATACTTTGAAGATTTTCCTAAGGAATGCTAAGAATAGAACTCTTATATGATATACTAGACTAATACTAATGCTCACGAAGCCCAAGTAAGATGGTATCCGGTCATATTTCAGAAAAGCGAAGAGTGTTCACTATCGTATAGAAAACAGTGTGACAGCCAATAAAATTTTCTTATAAAAACGCTATACAAATTTCAATCATCTACTCAAATTATTTGATGAAAACGAACGGGATAAACTTTTTTGAAAATATACGAAAATATAAATTTCCTTGGCAAAATATAGCGGCGATATTTACAATCTCTACCACTCCTTACTTTACAATTTTCATGTAAATGAATAGTCTAATATATGATATGAAAGTTTGTGATTAGTGTTTGGAACCATTGTCTTTCATATGACATGTAGCTTACATACTATTTCGTTCAATGCGCTAAATCAATTAGAACCTTCGATAATCTTGTCACTTTTTATGTATCGCAAGATAACTTTTTCAAGAGACTGAAGAGTCGGACATAATATAATATAAATTTACGTCTTCACTGACCCTATCTTTTTGCTGCCTTTAATGTGCGATAACCGAAGGATATCGAATATTGATTTACGAAATAATACATAGCATCGTACTATGTGCAAGGCGAAAATTTATGTGTATACACATGTAGTCTTGAAATCAACCTTTCCACGTGCCGATATAACTCTTGCAGTTCGGACAAAAGTGATGAACGCTCATAAAGGAGCTCATGCAATATGGCAGACAAGAACAGAGGCAACATCTGAAACAAAAAGAGAAATATCATCGATTTTTTAATTATACAGGGTGTTAGTTAAATATGTTGCTATACTCAACAAAGTGATTCTTTGGTTTATTTGAAGTAAAAAAGTTCATACAAACATGTGTTCTAAACGGCTTAGTTTCCGAAATAAAAGTTTAAACGTGTAGTAATAATCTGTTTCGTTTAGAACAGCTTCCTCTAGTACTGGTGTTCTAACTGTCATAGGCTTTCCAAGATCAACAGTTCCTTACAAAAAAACCCTTTTCTCGAAAATAGCGGTAAATATTTGCAAATGTTTTACGACATAGTAAATTGCATTGGGGATATCTTTCTGCATAAATACTTGCCTCACGTGAGTTGCCATTTGCAAGACCGTAGGCAAAGTGTATATCAGCCATTTCAAAATTTGTAAACTTAGGCATGAAACCGATTTTGATGGACTGAAACAATTCGGCCCGAAAACGTATGCACAAGCTAACCGACCCGCAGCAACATCAGAACTGAAGTCTATTTTTGATTTTATGACTTTAACTTTGACACTTTGTTTACGATCGTACGAATGGTAACTCACGTGAAGACTGGTGTGAACTTAGCACCCAAGTTAAAAAAAATAAAAAAATTTTTATACTATAGGTTTGTACCTCGTTTGTACCCGTTTGTACCACAAATTGTTTCGTTTGTACCTAAAGGGTTAAAAGTTATAGAGGTGCAAAAAAATCGCCACCCCTAACATTAAGATATTTAAAAACGGCCAACGCCATTCGAAAGAGCATCGTTTGTACCCGTTTGTACCACAAATTGTTTCGTTTGTACCTAAAGGGTTAAAAGTTATAGAGGTGCAAAAAAATCGCCACCCCTAACATTAAGATATTTAAAAACGGCCAACGCCATTCGAAAGAGCATCGTTTGTACCCGTTTGTACCTCCTTTCAAATCGTTTGTACTTCAAAGGAAAAATGGTGGAAGTACCTCTTGAGCGTATTTTGAAAAGACTGTACCTCGGGTTGCTTTGAGGTACAAACGATTTAAAAGGAGGTACAAACGGGTACAAACGGTGCTCTTTCGAATGGCGTTGGCCGTTTTCAGAAAGTTTGAAAAATGGAGGAAGTACCTCTTGAGCGTATTTTAAAAAGACTGTACTTCCGGCTCCTTTGAGGTACAAACGGATACAAACGATGCTCTTTCGAATGGCGTTGGCCGTTTTCAGAAAGTTTGAAAAATGGAGGAAGTACCTCTTGAGCGTATTTTAAAAAGACTGTACTTCCGGCTCCTTTGAGGTACAAACGGATACAAACGATGCTCTTTCGAATGGCGTTGGCCGTTTTCAGAAAGTTTGAAAAATGGAGGAAGTACCTCTTGAGCGTATTTTAAAAAGACTGTACTTCCGGCTCCTTTGAGGTACAAACGGATACAAACGATGCTCTTTCGAATGGCGTTGGCCGTTTTTAGATATCTTTAAAATTGTAAAATTTGTGGTGTTTTACATTTCCCGGATATAAAACAATATTGTACTTCCGGTTCCTTTGAGGTACAAACGATTTGAAAGGGGGTACAAACGGGTACAAACAATGCTCTTTCGAATGGCGTCGGCCGTTTTTAAATATCTTAATGTTGGGCGCTGGCGATTTTTTTGCACCTCTATAACTTTTTAACCCTTTAGGTACAAACGAAACAATTTGTGGTACAAACGGGTACAAATGAGGTACAAACCTATAGTATAAACATTTTTTTATTTTTTTTAACTTGGGCGCTAAGTTCACATCGGTCACGTGAAGCAAGGCATATTTATGCAGAAAGATATCTCCAACGCAATTTACCGTTTCGTCAAACATTTGCGAATCTTCATCTGTATTTCGGAAACTAAGCCGTTTAGGATACATGTTTATATAAACTTTTTTACTTGAAATAAAAGATCGCTCTGTTGAGTATGGCAACATACTTAATTAACATCCTAAGTACATAGATGAAAACTGCTAAGAGACGATCACATATTTTCTTGATAAGAAGAAAACGTAGTAATCTAATAAATACGTATGTTGAGATAATGATCAGCCGAAAAGAATCAATACTTTTAACGACAAACATAAAAATGTAATGTAAACATAATAATAAAACGGAGTTGCTTCTCACCCGAGTAAACAGAGCACAATGCAACATATATGAGCGCTCCGCTGGTGATCCGATATTGTGGTGGATTTGATATCAGCGAGACACGATGGACAAGTCATTTTCACGGAGTTTGGGCCTAGGGCCAACGCTACGTGTTGATGAATGACTCGGACTTCCGGCTGTCGTCCCGAGCTCGGTTCGGGATTGAAACGCGGCTGTGGCATTGATTGACTCGTACCCGGGTACACTGACGTGGTAGGCATTGTTGTTTGATTCGGTGGCTGATTATCTGAAATCACATACAATCATACGAGGATTGTTTGATAAGTCCGTGCAAAAATAAAGAAAACATAATTTTTTGGGACAAACATTTTTTTTATTTTTCAACATAATCTTCTTTGAGGTCTATACACTTAGTCCAATGACGCTCGAATTTTTTTTATCTCGTTCATATAGTATAATTTGTCTAACTTTTCAAAATAGGCAATTATTTTGGCAATCACTTCATTATTTGATGAAAATCTCTTTCCTGCAAGCCATTTTTTCATGTTTGGAAACAGATAGTAGTCCGAGAGAGCCAAATCTGGACAGTAGGGGGCATGCGAAAGGACTTCGCAGCGTAAATCGAACAATTTTGCGATCACAATTGTGAGAGAAGAGTGAGTTGGTACTGGTTATAAAAAGGGGAGCGATGCATTTGGACACGTTGCAAATGGACACGAAACTTTACACACGGTTCAATTAGACACAGTTACTTTTGGACACGCGAAAATACGTCTGATGAAGATGGTACCACATTTAAAAAAAAATCAATTTATTATCATAGTTCTGATCGCACCCTAATGAGTTCTAGAGTTCTAGATAACATTTAGAAATAATTCCGGCGAAATGAAGTAAAAAAACCAATTTTGAAGTTTTGGGGTGCTAAATTCACAAAATGAGATCAGAAAAATGACCGTAACTTTTTAACGATTGCACCAAATAAATTTCATCATTAGAGTTTTTTATAGAACTCTTGTAGTGTTATCCAAAACTCCGGTCAGAATTATTCGCTGGAATTATTAAAAAAAATTTCACCCTTTCAGGGCTTAGAAATGTTCACGAAACCGAATCTTCGAACGGCTAAAACTTCTCTCTCATTGGTTTTAGCTGAAAGATTCATAAATATAAACAGAACTCTTCGGGGTGCTACCAGAACTCCGATCAGAATGCTGGAATTATTTAAAAAAATTTCACTCTTTCAGGATTTAGAAATTTTTACGAAAGCGAATATTCGAACAACTAGAACTTCTCTCTCATTGGTTGTAGTTCGAAGATTCATAAAGATAATCGATAGAATTCCTTGAAGTGCTAGCAGAACTCCGGTCGGAACGCTGGAATTATTTAAAAAAATTTCACCTTTTCAGGATTTAAAAATTTTCACAAAATGAGATCAGAAAAATGACTTTTTTAGAAAAGTAACTTTTTAACGGCTGCATCAAATGGATTTCATCATTAGAGTTTTTTATAGAACTCTTGTGGTGCTATTCAGAACTCCCGTTAAAACGCCGGAAATACGAAAAAAAATTTTACTCCTATGGGACTTAGCAATTTCCACGAAACCGAATCTGAACGGCTAGAACTTCTCTCTCATTGGTTGTAGCTCGAAGATTCATAAAGATAATCGATAGAACTCATCAGGGTGCTACTAGAACTCCAGTCGGAGCGCTGGAATTATTAAAAAAAATGTTACCACCAGGTGCTCACAAAAAAAATAATCTAATTTTTTATAATTTTGCCAACAAATTTTTCCCAGCGTGTTATTTGTGTTTTAGTGCTAATTATGATAGTCCTCTTTCTCCCCAAATTATTCTATCGATTGTCCTCCTAACTCTAAACGTTACAGTCGACAGAAATAATTTATAGCGTTTTGAATTTTCAAAATGGTGAAGTTAGCCCAGTTAAAAATGATCTATACAATATTTGTTCACTTTTATCTGCCCTACTTATATTTTTCTTCTTGGATGTCTTATGCTGGACACCTTGTATATAATCTAATATTTAATAATAAATGAGTATATTCATTATAGCCCACTCAAGAGTTCTAACATTTTCACTTTCTTTTTCATAAAGTTACGTTGGTCACAGGAGCGAGCATACCATTATAAGGTCATGGCTATAAGGCATTATAAGGCAGGGCTAACTTCACCATTCTGAAAATTCAAAACGCTATAAATTATTTCTGTCAACTTTAACGTTTAGAGTTAGGAGGACAATCGATAGAATAATGAGAAAGAAGACTATCAGAACTAGCACTAAAACACAAATAACATACTGAAAAAAATTTTGTTGGCAAAATTTAAAAAAATTAAGTCGTTTTCTAAGCACCTGATGGTAACATTTTTTTTAATAATTCCAGCGTTCCGACTGGAGTTCTGATAGCACCCCGATGAGTTCTATCGATTATCTTTATGAATCTCCGAGCTAAAACCAATGAGAGAGAAATTCTAGGCGTTCAAAGATTCGGTTTCGTGAAAATTTCTAAATCCTGAAAGGGTGAAATTTTTTTAAATAATTCCAGCGTTCTGATCAGCGATCTGATCTGGTAACACCTCAAAGAGTTCTGTTTATATTTATGAATCTTTCAGCTAAAACCAATGAGAAAGAAGTTCTAGCCGTTCGAAGATTCGGTTTCGTGAAAATTTCTAAATCCTGAAAGGGTGAAATTTTTTTAAATAATTCCAGCGTTCTGATCAGCGATCTGATCTGGTAACACCTCAAAGAGTTCTGTTTATATTTATGAATCTTTCAGCTAAAACCAATGAGAAAGAAGTTCTAGCCGTTCGAAGATTCGGTTTCGTGAAAATTTCTAAATCCTGAAAGGGTGAAATTTTTTTAAATAATTCCAGCGTTCTGATCAGCGATCTGATCTGGTAACACCTCAAAGAGTTCTGTTTATATTTATGAATCTTTCAGCTAAAACCAATGAGAAAGAAGTTCTAGCCGTTCGAAGATTCGGTTTCGTGAAAATTTCTAAATCCTGAAAGGGTGAAATTTTTTTAATAATTCCAGCAAATAATTCTGACCGGAGTTTTGGATAGCACCACAAGAGTTCTATAAAAAACTCTAATGATAAAATTCATTTGGTACAATCGTTAAAAAGTTACGGTCATTTTTCTGATCTCATTTTGTGAACTTAGGACCCCAAAACTTCAAAATTGATTTGTTTACTTCATTTCGCCGGAACTATTTCTAAATGTTATTTAGAACTCATTGGGGTGCGATCAGAACTATGATAATAAATTGATTTTTTTTAAATGTGGTGCCATCTTCATAGACGTGAGAAAATTGCACACTGTTCAATTGCCTATCGTTCGTTTGGACACCATTTAATTACCCATCATTCATTTAAACACGAAGATGCACACAGTTCAATTGCCCACCGTTTATTTGGACACAGAAAGTTGTACACCGTTCAATTATCCACCGTGCTTAAGCTCAAAAAGATTACTACCCGCTGCGGTGCGAGAGGTCTGAGGGGCGAAACCCCCCTGGTTAGAGACATGGCTAGAGATACCTTTTTATTAATATTTCGGAAACTATAGGAAATGTGCAAGTGGCTACGGAGCATATACATCTCACTGTTTGTTGTCGATGTGACAGTTTTCCTAACCTTAACAGTGGTTAATTGAACGGTGTCTAAATAAACGGTGTGCATATTTCTGTGTCCAAATGAACGGTGCGCAACTGTCCGTGTCCAAACGAACAGTGGGCAATTGAACAGTGTCCAAATGAACGGTGGGAAAATGAACGATGTCCAAACAAACGGTGGGCAATTGAACAATGTACAATTGAACGATGGGCATTTTCTCGCGTATCCAAAAGCAACTGTGTCTAATTGAACCGTGTGTAAAGTTTCGTGTCCATTTGCAACATGTCCAATTGTACTGTGTCTAAATGAAGGCCACTCGTGAAAAAGAATCTTCTTTTCGTCAAGTGTGGTCGTTTTTCCTTTATTTCATTATTTAAACGATCTAGCAAAGACATATAATACACTACGGTAATTGTATTGTCCTTCTTCAAGAAGTCTATGAAGATTATGCCACGAGCATCTCAAAAGATGGTGGCCATAACCTTTCCTGCTGAAGGAACGGTTTTCGCTTCCTTTGGTATAGATTCCCCGCTTGCAACCCATTGTTTAAACTGTTCCTTGGTTCCAGGCTGGCAGTAATGAATCCATGTTTTATCTACTGTTACGAAACGACGTAAAAATTCCTCTTGATTCCGTTGAAATAGCTTCAAGCTGTCTTTGCAACAGTTCACACGTCGACGCTTGTGATTCAGTGTGAGCAAACGCAGCACCCATCTTGCGGATAGTTTCCTCATATGTAAATGTTCATGCAAAATATTATGTACGCGGTCATTTGAAATGCTCTTAGTAATTTCATATATTTTCACTCTTCTATCATTCATCACCATATCATGGATTTTTTCAATAATTTCTGGAGTAGTGACTTCAACAGGGCGTCCAGAATGTTCAGCGTTACTTGTGTTCATATGGCCACTTCGAAAGTTACTAAACCATTTATAATCCGTTCTAATCAAAGATACAGATTCGCCATAATATTTATCAAGCTTAGCTTTGGTTTCCTGAGTCGTTTTGTTTTTCAAAAAGCACTTAATGTTTAATAATGTTTAGCAATTAATGTTTAGCAATTAATGTTTAATAATGTTTAATTACTATTCGAAATTCTTTCTCATCCATTTTTCACAAATCATGGCACTTGATCGATTCAAATGAACGCCAAACACAGAGTAATAGATTTATCTGACTGAAACTTGATGTGTGATCTTCTAACAGTTGGCAGCAACTAAATATAACTTCGATATGTACTAGCTACGATGGCGCTATGTTGTAGACTTTACACGGATTACAAATAGCCCTCATATACAATCATTATGCATACCGCGTATATGCAAGTTCATGAGATGTTACACGCATGTGACCTCTCGTAACTATAAAGCATTTTATCCATTTTGGGTTCTTCGCGAGTAGTAATAAATCGTATACTGATTGATAGAGAAATGAGAGATGTCCAAAGATTTACCCAAGTCAGTAACAACAGATGATAAGTACTTCATGTTGGTATTTTAAAGTAGTTTACGTTACCTGTTACCACCGTCATTTCAGTGCCCTGAATGTCGCGAAATTAAGTTAAAAAAAATGCTATTTAGCATATTTCTTCAACATTTTCAAGAAATATATCTCGGAACAGTCGATCTAGAATATCGTGTCTATGTAACATTTTAATCCTCTAACAATAATCTTTCATTTTAGCTTAGCCCCATTACTAGTCACGAGAATTCCAGAATTAAAGAATGGATAAAGTTCTTTGCGTATCGACGTATTGACAGAGTCAATACGTCAACGTTTCGTTATGCAAAAAACCGTGTATAATTTCGTTGATATAAAAAAATATTATTTATTACAAAAGTTGTTATATAGAACACAGTATATAATATTATGGTACATTTTAAAAATGCAAGCTTCCAAAAAGATCATTTATTCTACAAATCGAACAGTACCGATTTGCAGATAGCGTAATTGTATCCTACTGGATATCAAAGTGTTAAGAGACACATATATCTCACGTACATGGCATTGGCATCGGCATTGCCGCACCTCCTATAGGATACGGCGGGTTAGCGACCGATGGTTGCATAGGCACTGCTCCTGTATTAGCTATAGCTTCTTCGTAAGACGGCGGAGCCGTGGGTAGAGGAGCAGAGGGTTGTACGAAGCCTTTCTCCATTTTTCCTGAAAAGAAAGAAAAAAAAATGGTTTCAAACGACTGTAATGTTCCGGATTCAGTATGCCGATAACAATTATCGTATAAAAATTACTGTTTTCCGACTAAATAAATATGTCGCTCGCTTGCGCGTCTTACGTTGATGATAAATTACAATACAATCGAGAATTTCTCAAACACAGATAATGAACATTTTATTTGCCATACTGTTTAGTTTACATTTCCACTAAAAAGTCACGTGAGCAGACTCAGATGTAAATTTATCGTGATTTTATCAGCGAAAAACTTAACTATTGCCAAGTGTCAAGGTTACTTGTAATTTTCCTATACTACGCATAATCAGGTACGTCTCTCTTTCTTGCATACTAAGCTCTTCGTCAACTGTAAATAAAATCGGTAGCTAGAAGCGGAATTCTTAATTAAGTCGAAACGCGTTTGTCGAATCACTTTCGAAACTGTTCCATATTCGAATTTTTACATTTTCTGTTTAAAAACACTTAACAACAGCAGAACTCGAATGATAAATTTATCAATCCGTTACGAACAAGAATGATCGATAACATAACACCGCAATGTTTATATAAAGATATATTACCCGTATAATTCCTGCAAAAGATCACTAAAAATGAGAGAGATATGTTAATATTTATATTTTACGTATAAAAAAACATATAGTATATGTGCAGTTAAATAACAACATATTTTTATTTTAATATCATATTTTGTAGGCTATTTACTTTATTTTATATTGTTTTTTTATAATCTATTCATAATACAATCGATAAAAAATTTTAGACGCGAATTAATCTTAGTAAATATGCAGAAATCCTCTGATTTTAATATATGTATAAATATATATAAATAAATATATACATATATATATATATATATATATAAATATATACATATATATATATATATATATATATATATATATAT